TGGTACGCACAACAACCGACTGTTTGAAAAAATGTGATGATTTTACGAAAAAGTTCTCAATACTTTTGAAGAGTCATCAGCCAATCAAATTGTATCGCAAAGGAGATTAAAATAAAAACGCTCTTTCTATGTCTCAAAAAGCAGGATTCATATTATCAATACCCCGTCACTTGGTTTAAAACAAATTTCACAAAGAGTGTCTATTACGAAAGTGGAATTTGCTCGGAGATCGGCCAGTGTATAAAAAATATTAATTGGAGCTTATTATGGCACTTTTCCAACGATGACACTATTTAATGGGGCATCTCCTTTGTATTTCAAACATGTCACTCGAGTGCATCGCTTGCTCCACTGAAAATATGATTGCATCTGTTTGCAGGACTCCAGTTTCTAAAAGACCACGCAGACAAGGTTCTCTATGGTTACCAGAGGAAGACGCCAAATTGCTGGAAGCTGTACGGAAGTATGGCGAGTCGAAATGGGTAGAAATAGCTGAGATGGTTGGGACGCGGTCGAGAAAGCAGTGCAGAGAGAGATATATCAATCACTTGAATCCAACTATCGACAACTCAAAGTGGTCGACTGAGGAAGACATGACCATTCTTAGACAATACGCCCTCATCGGCTCAAAATGGTGCTCAATTGCTTCTTGCTTGAACAACAGAACGGCAAGAGCAACACGAAATAGATACTACTCACTTTCTAATAAACAGAAGAATGTGAGTTGCTTTACACCATCCTCAGTAAGGTATACAGTCGACGTTGGTGGATATCCATGGTAAAGTGTAATTGTATTTTGATTGCGTTTTTGTTTCAACAAGGAAGGGAAATACTTCAGATAATAAAAGTGAGTAAAAACATTTATTCAAATAGTAAAAATATATTAATATGATAAAAAAATAATTTAGCCGATATTTCATTACTGACATCTGGAGTTTGATATTTCTCACTTGATGAATACAAATCATTTTTAAACAAGACAATAAACCACTTATTGGGTGTTTACTTTACTCATTCCTAACACATAGTATTAAACCATTTTGAAAATGTTTTTTATATGTAGTAATATAATACCTAAATATATGTTTTGAAAAATGAAGTAGAAAGTCCATTTCTATAAATAATCAATTCAACTATGATAAATAAATTAAAAATGTTGATCCAAACAGGGTCAATGATAGACCCTTATACATACAACTTAAATTTAACATAAAAGTGTGATAATTTTTTAACTCATTTTTAATGAAACCTACGGAATGCAAACATTCTAAAACTCTTTACAAAAACTGAAAAAATAATACTAACAATTCGAACAATAATTATAATCAAACAAAAATGGTGTTGTTTTCACTAGCTATTAATGTAAATAACTATTTAAAATACTAGACTTTACTATTTAAAAATTAACAACTAACATACATATTTTGTTTGGAAAAAGACTTAAAATATTTGCAAACTCCCCGAAAATTTAAAACAAATCCCTTGTTGATAAATTGGCATGTTTTTAATGGTATGTATAGTCGTTTTGATGTTTTTCCTTTTTAACTTCTGTAATATTATCTACATGATAAAAAGAAATTAAAAAACTCTATATTTAAACGATTTTAGATGACTTGAATTGGGTTCAATGTTTTTAAAGTGTAAAACTTACAAAATAGAATTAAAATAATCAATATTCAAATGTAATTACTTTTTGATATTAAAGTTGTAATAACAAAATTGACTTCCAATTTATATTACTTGGAATAATTTGGTAATAAATAATTATAATAAATTACGAATACACAAACAAATGTCATGTTTATTATCTTAATTTATTATATTCTGATAATTATTGTACATCATACATACTCATATATTTTATGGACATGTAATGATGACAAACCATTTAAAAAATATTAAAATTTAAATATAAACGATTTATGTTACAGTCATGCGAAAAAGCTGTCTCGTTTGGAAAAACCTGTCTCGGGTGGTAATGAACTATTCTAGTACTATAAACAAATGATC